GAAAGCAACGTCGGCGACAGAGGCTGTGATGAAAGAGGAGAATGCCGATACCGATCTGAAACATCGGATATGGTCGGAGACTGATCCAACCCGTGATGCAAGTTCATTCCTTTTTCAGGCAACGATAGAGAAAACGCCGACAACTTCCCAATAGAAGAAGCATTCGACAGTCTCGGATAGAAAGTGCAAGAACTAGAAGAATACTCAGTAAAAATAAATTTTATTATTTTTGTTTTATAAACATAGAAAACTAAGAAATAAAGTGAGAATAAAAAACAAAACAAAAAATATGTTTTTAAATAAAAATAATTAGATTAAATACATCTTTATTCTTCTATAATATCTAATATATAACTTTGGTCCTTCAGTTTGAAAGTTTTTAATTTTAATTTCTCAATTTTTTAATCTAATGTTCATTTATATTATAATTGATATGTAATAATATTTAAATTAAATTATATTTTTTATCTTTATTTTATTTTCCTTTCATCTCATTTGATTTTGTGTGGCAAGACAAAATAATTGTCCTATCAATTATGATTTGTTGTGTAAATATACACAACAAACACACATAATACTTTTGTATTAGACATATTATCTTATATATTTGTGACAAGTAAATATAAAGTATATTATTAATTAAATATTAAAATAATAATTATTAAAATATTTTAAATAATAATTATAATTTTAAAAAATTATTATATATATATATGCATATATTTTTTAGATAAGTAACTACATAAATAAAAATTATTTTTTATTTACATAATTTATGTTAATTAATATCTTTATTTAAAAGTTGTTTTAAAAAGTATGTAATTTAGAAACAAAATTCACTTGAACAAAAATTTATTATATCATGTCATTATCTAATTTATGTCAAATACAAATTATGTTATGATTTATTATATGATATGCACTATATATTTGTTAGAGAAAAATGACTATGTGTGTATTTTAAAAGTTGAGTTCAACTACTTCAAAGCAATAGCCTTGTTGCTCTTGAATTCATGCATTAGAAAGTGAAAACACACATTTCCATGATTTGAAACGGATATCCAAACACACCTTATATGCCGGTAGTGTGAAACTATTTCACACAGTAATCCAATTACAAACTAGCAATTATAAGACATTCACTTGTATAATAATTATCTTAAAAATCATATTAATAATGATTTATGATCGATTGATAATGTAAAAACTTTTATATTGACAGATGCATTAATTTATCATGTTTTTATCTTATTTTGCCTTTATTTGATCATATTTTATATTATTATGTGATTGAGTACTAAAGTCGATAATTAACTCAAGCAAAGAAAAAAAATATAATTTTGTCATTATTATTCAATTTTGAGACAATATTAAACCCAATGTACGATTTGCAATTTTATATTTTTCATTTTTTTTGTCAACTGACGTCGAAATAAGATGGAAAAACAATTATGTAGTTTTTCCCTTTTCCTTTTCCTAACTCCTGAAGTTCGTTTCCCATTTCTCATTACTAGCATAAGCATGCCTACTTATCATCCATATGCGTAATATTAACAACAATGTTAGTTGAGTAAAAACTACGGAACCTCAATTCTTGTTTCAACAGAAATTCAGAATATACATTTTGATCCGAAACAGCTCAACTCTCATTTCAAAATAGCCTCATAAGTTTTATTTGTATTAAAATAAAAATAAAATATATGAACCATTTCATATAGAAAATTGAATCTTGGATAGTGGATTAGATAATTTTTTTGCATAGAATTCCGTGATGAACATTGGGATCATCCACAACTCAAAAAAGAAAAGCATTTGCAGAGCGCCGGAGGGGAAAATCTTTTGACTGAGTTGAGATTACAAAAATGCGGAAATAGGTATGGTTGTGCCGCCCTTTCCCATTCAAAGTATAAAAATGCAACTAGCACAGTTGAACTTGAAGGAGTCGTATTAATCAAGTTCCCTCTCTTGTCTTGCATATCATCCCGAGTTTTTTCTGATTTATAACCACTCTCATTTTGATTCTCACTAAGGGGAAGACATCATTAGATGAAAAGGAAATATTAAATGTTTAATGACACAAAGAATAACAGCAAATGAAGCAGAAGTAATAAAATTGTTGGCTGCACATATTCAGTCATGAGCAAAACAAAATCATATAGATTCCTCGCATGGTACTAAATGAACAAATCTCCAAGTAATATCGGTGAGAATGCTATCAAAACAGTTGAATGTGTATGTAATGTATCGGAGGGAAAATGATATAAATAGAATAGGAACTTTCTCAAGGAGGCAAGGCCTTTCGACAATATGATAAAACCATCACAAAATCTTTGGCTGAGGACCCCACAGATGCTGGTATCTTTTTTGAGGTTGATGCTGTCCGGAACCATAGATCTACTAAATTATGCAGTTGCAAAGATGGTAGCACTGGCTGACCCCGGCACATGATTTCCACCTGTGCAAATTACAAAACAGTATCAGTCTATAGCACCGGGAATGCACCAGCCAATTTTTGCTTATGTACAACTTGAATTTTACTTTTGCTTTAGAAAGAAAATTCGTTATAACCGTAGTTTTGGTCAAAATAAAGCTAACACTGATGGCAATTGAAAGTTCATAACATGCAAATCATAATGCTGTTAAAATTCACATACACCTGCCAATAATAAGGCGGTTTATCAACAGCTATCTGATGCAACTCTAGTATTGAATATCCGTGAGACCTTAGGAATACCGGAGACAACAAAATTTCAGACCATTATAAGAGAAATTCAGTCTAGACCCAAGGTGAAAGGACTAAGGAATCATGTTTTCAGTAGCTTCAATGTTAATTTAGTTCTTAATGCCAACATGGTGACTTGGTGTTAAAACTTCAACACAAGAAATTTGTTTATAATATTTTCATTTTTCTTTACATAGCAAATAGTGTGGGTGCATAGGCCTGTGTCAGTGGAGATTCCATTTCTGTATTCAGTTGACAGTAGTTGCGCTTTGTGCATTTGTAATATTTGCTGTTTTCTATTATGTAGAAGGATACGAAGTTTAGTAAAATTCTCAGCCAGCCCATAAATTCTAGCTTCATAGCTGTACACTTGTACTAATTTCTTGTGAGAGCCTTGAACAATGTCCCACAAAGGCTTGCACTATGTTGCTTGGCCTCCTGGAGCAATTTCTCACAAACAACAATAGACAAACCTTATACAGAAAATGATTCAGGACCACAAATTTTTACTATAATTACATCCTAAAACCAAAATTAGTAAGAGAAAACAAGAAAACAGAAGCAGGAAAGAGAAAATGTGCCAACCATTCTGAGTTCTTAGAATAGAAGGTAGTAATTATAAGTTACTCACCTCTGTTTCATTGGCAAGATTAAGTTTCTTCACTAGGTACTTTTGAATAAATGAGACAGGCACAGTACCATCCCTGTGATGAGGTCAGATACAAAGAATTACATAAGAATGTTATATAAATCTTTATCATAAAAGAGGGAATACATTAAGAAATATAATAGAGAAAAGAAAGAGGACAAGCAACAATAGAACCAAAGAAGCCTGAAAAATCAACACTTTCAACTGATTCAATATGGAAGTTTCCCTTTGCTAAAACTGTTAGTCAAACGATAATCATCAATCTGTGCATCTGCCATTCAGAATAGCACATCAAAATCAATCATCATATGACTTATGTGCGTTGTAGCTTGTGGGATGTGGAACCAAACAGGCTATTAGACAAGGATCAATAATCTGCTGATTTTCAAATCTATGGTTGTTCTAAGAAAATCAGTCAGTTTGCTGCCTGAACAACATGGTGAACATACTTTCTTAGAAGGAGGCATGGAAGTGTATGCCTGAACATCTGTCGGTCATATCTTTAAATGCAGTAACATTTTTTCTCTAGGGTTGCAATTTAATCCTCAGATTTTGTGAACTTATGAGCGTGCTTATAAAAACAAGAGCACATTTTTTTTAATCTTAGTATTGGTTGTTAGCTTAATTTTGACACCAAAATGAGAATAAGTTATGTTCTATTCAATTCAAAGGCCAAAGATGTACTCCCTCAACAGCAAAATCAAGAAAACATTTAAATCTTCTTAAAAAATAATAATCAGATAAACAGAATGACAATGAGAGTCAGAAGAATTACTTTATTCTTAAGTAACATGCTGAGATCTGTGGCAAGGGAACATCTCCTTTCCTGAATAATAACATCAATTTCTTTAATGACAGCAGAAGGTAAACACTTCGTAATTAGTATGATTGTTGTTTATAAAAAAGCTTACTGGTCCTCTGAAGCAACTAATGAAAACCAAATAGCACTGTTTTTTCTGTTGCACTTGCCCCCTGGCGCATCTGGTGGGGCTGGGGATGAGGCAGACATCTCAGATGCTGCAACTCTTTTCTGACCAGCTGGACGCAACCTTCTTCGCTTGACTGGTCCTGAAGGCAAGCTGTTTGCATCCTTGTCATCTCCGAATATTGTTCTATTCCCAGTATCCTTATTTTTGGATTTTGGAATGTTTAACTCACTCTGGACAGGAGGTAGGTCTGTTTTGGTTGTAATTTCAGGTGTATCTTGTCCACCACGAGGAGTAGTTGGGGACTCTAATTTGGAAAAAGGAATTGCTTGTGAATTTGACCTGGAGGACTTTGTTCTGTTGGCAGCTTCAACGAGACAGTTCAGTGGTGTCCAGAGATCAACCTTCCCTTCTGTATGTTCCACACTGTTCTCTGTATCTTCATTGTGCTTGTGCTTCTTAGAAGGCTCAGCCGTGGAGGATTCCTAGACCAATATTGCGAACCAATGATTATACAAAACCATTATAACATGAAACGGAGGCTTAACTAATATCACTCAGAAACCAGCAAAAGTACAAACACATAAAGAAAAGTAACACCAAGTTCTGTTGCACCCATAACCAACACCTGACATTCATTTTCAGAAGTCATATTTGATGAATCAGGTAAAATTGAGCATACCATCTTATCTTCAGCATTTGTTTCTTCCTTCTTTATGGATTCTTCGAGAAGAAAACTGCATCCACGTAAAGCAGCAGCTTTTCTGGTACTGGTTTTTGTTCTCTTTCCTGTAAAGCCAGGTTGCATTGAAACTTTGGGAGCACTGACTACCAATGATGAAAGCGATCTTTCCTTCCTTTTTGCAGGCAATGATATTGAAGACAAAACTTCTTGGGCCTTGATTTTTTTTCTTTTAAAAGGGAATATTTTTGCCCTTATATCTTGCAAATTATGGTCTGGCCTGTTCATAATTAATAGGAACCGTTGATTATTTCGCAAAGATCTTCCAACAGATTTACTACACTGCTGAATATTAAAAATCAACAAAACAATTATAACATGCAACCTCTAAGAATAACTCATTCAATCTATGCTTGAAGATGGGGAAAATGTCACTCTGATTGGGGTTTTCTTATTGAAGATCCACTACATAAAAATATCAGTCTTCACAAAAAATCACAAGTTACCAATGAAATTTACATATGAGATGCAATCTCATTGGAAATGCAAAGCTATTGGAAATCTTTAGACCTTAGGAAGAAGAATGCCTTCTAAAATGAAATAGCAACTACTTTTAGTAAACAGAATTCTAAGTCCGAATTCTGTAGGTCAACTGTTAAACAGTTATCCGTGACAAAAATTAGATGCAACAAACAGTACTTTGCGAGTAACATTTATGGATGTAGGGAGAAGGAAATTAGAAATCTTACTGAAAGAAACGAGGAGTAATTTGACGAAGTAATTTATGAATACACTGTGAAAGATATTTAAGGCCAAAACTTTCATTTGCTCATACTATATAAATATGTTTTATAATAAGAAATAAAAAAGGTAAAGATTGATCATGAGCATTGGTAAATATTTAACAGCATGTTCTCTTGTACAAGCATAGAAGTAGGGAAAAGGAAATTAGAAATCTTACTGAAAGAAACGAGGAGTAATTTGACGAAGTAATTTATGAATACACTGTGAAAGATATTTAAGGCCAAAACTTTCATTTGCTCATACTATATAAATATGTTTTATAATAAGAAATAAAAAAGGTAAAGATTGATCATGAGCATTGGTAAATATTTAACAGCATGTTCTCTTGTACAAGCATAGAACAGATACTAACAAGAGAAGGGAGAAGACAAAACAGAATAAACAAATAACAAATATTCCAGCTGCATGTTTGTTCAGTCCAGTTCAAATAAGTCATTAATCACACAAATCACAGTATTAAGTTGGCAATCAAAGACAGCAACCGACCTGAGTTTTTCCACCGGAAGGCAGCCTAGATCAATATTGCACACAGGACAGCAATCCATCTCCTCGTCTGAGAGTTTCTCATATATGCATTTCCTGCAAACTGTTGTAGGGTTCATAGTTCAGTGCATTGCCCAGAAGATCCTTAAAAGTGTACTCAAAAGGATGTGCAAGCAAGAAGGTGCAAGTGTGTGATTGAGGAATGTCATAAATATCACACGCTTCTCAAATTACAAAACAAACATATTGCGAAAGTCCATTGCATCCTCAAGAAACTTCATAACGGTGCACCACCTTAAACAAGTGAAAATTAAAACAAGAGTAAAGAGATACAATCAAGGTGATTTCATTCCTTATATACCCGTCAATAACAGAAACCCAAACAACGAATAAACCAGAGACATGTAAAACATGTATTATCAACTTTCTTTCATGTCAATCTTATTGCTATCCACAGTAACAAAAACAATTGTTGAACGTTCTCTTCACGCAACAGCAGTAATCTCAGATCATCAAAATCAGCAAGCACAGAATATCAAGGAAGCGCATTGAAAACCCAAATCATGAAAATCCAGGCAATTTGATATTAATTACACGACAAGGACGACGATAAGCAATAACGAAAAGGGGTCAACATAGAAGAATGCATTGGAAATTTGCAATTGGCAGGGGTAGGTAAAGTAGAGCAACGTCAAAATCTGAAAGAGAAAAAAGAAAGAGGCGGAAGCAGCATCGAAATCGAAATAGCAAAGAAATCGAAGGAAGGGAGAGAGAAGAGACGAACATGTGTGAAGACAGAGAGAGATGGTGGTGGCATCTCTGACGAGCTTATGGCAGAGAGGGCATGTCATGCATGTTCGTAGCGTTTCTGTCTTGACTTTAACCATCTGGGTGGACACCATCTTTACCATAATCAACCTTGCATTCCAAGTTCCAACCCTCTCAAGTCTCAACTAAACACACCGAGACACGGTGGTCTGGTTCCTATGGGATTGGACGTGGAAGCGATATGGATCTGGCGAGGGAATTGAGCTGGCGGGTTTTGGGGGCGAAATCGCGAGATGGGGTTGGATGAAAAACTACGTAAAGATGAAGGCGGCAGCGTCGAATGTTGTTGTTGGGTTGGGGTGTTGGTGTTGGTGTTGGTGTGTTGGTGTGTTAGACCAAGACAAAGAAAAGAGAGCATGAAGAGAAACAGAAGCCAAGCAATACACACGCCATACATACACTACTAACAAACCAACGCTTCTTCTTAAGCTCGTGCGCGTGTGTCTTCTTTTCACACATTTGACTTCAACTTTCCATGTCTTCTATTATTACTGTTTACTTTGGTAATACCACATTCTAACTGTTTACCCCTTTTAGTTACCATTTCCCGTTTCCCCCCTCAAATAGCAAAATCAAATCTGCCACAACATCTCCTTAAATCATATCAAACTTTGTCACACTGCCTCCTGTCACTTTTCTCCTCCTATTACCATACGTTGTTGTTTTTATCTATTATCAGTTTTCAATTTTAATTATGAAAATTTTTCATATGTAAATCATTAAAATTTGGACGTAATTAATTAAGGTGTCGTTGGGATGTGGGTGGCTAATAATGTGTTAATGAATAGAGGCACAAGTGTTAGATTGGTTAATGAATAGAGGCATAAGTGTTGGATCTGGGTACAAAATATTGAAAGACAAGACTAAGAATCTTTTACAGGGCAGTTGACTTGTGAATGCTAGATCCTATATATACATGATATGCATAAATGTGCATAGGGTGATACTTGGTAGACGCCAATTAGTCTGCTCTATCCTCACCAATTATTGAGAAATGTTATTATCTCACATGTTTTTTAACATTCTTATTTATTACTTTAAATTTTGTTCAACATCATAAAATCTTTATATAAATTCATTAGATTTTGTTTGGATGGAGTATTGTAAAAATTCAAGAAATTTAAAATTTTAATTTGTATTATTCATTAAATGTTTTGTTTGAATAAGTTAATTCAAATTTCTTAAATTTTAAAATTTTAATTTGGATAACACAATTTAATTTATATGATAGGAAGATTTTAATTTTAAATAAATATATATATATTCAAATTTTAAAATTAAACTTTATAAAATAAACAATAGCTAATTTTTAAATATTTAATAATTTTTTAAAACATTATTTAATAATTTTAAAAATTGAGTTTTCAATAATTAAAAGAAATTATTGATATTTTTATATCAATGGAATAAAGATAGATAAATGAGATAAGAAAAAAATATGAAGAATTCCATATTCTTACAAAAAGTAAAAATTTAAAATTTTACAATTCCAAAATTTTTCTCAAATACCTTAATTTCAAATTTTTAAGAATTCTTCATTTTTTTTAAGAGAATAATTCTTCATTTAAACAAGACATTTTATCACCTAAAACATTTTAAAATTTTCAAAAAAAATGAATCACTTCACAACGTAAATAAAATTTGAGGTATTTTTTTAATCTCCAATAAATTACGATTATTAAGAAGAAGTATATTAAAAAAAATTTGTGTTAGATTCTTAACAATTTTCGTAAAGTCGTGTTCTAAGAGGGTACTGAACTAAGTTTATGTTTAAATTTACATTGTATTCAACTTAAATTCAGATATTTAATTTTCATGTTAGATGCAAAAACATATTTAGATAGTTTATGATTTTTGTATCTTACAGGGTGTTTATGACTAGCAATGTTGAACTAATAATGGATATAGTTATTTACCGAGTTAAATAGTTTTTCGTTTCTATAATATAAATTAAAAATTATTGTGCTTTTTATCTTTCAAGACTTTTTCAACCAATTAAATATCTGTGTTTTGAAGATTAAATAAATTTGGTTCTATTGTTTATTTTCTTTTACTTAAAGCATTTGAATAATTATTTTCTATACAGATGTGTGAAGATTGTGATAAATTTGGAATATAAATTAATTTTAATGATTATGAAATTAGAAATTTGATAAAGTCTAAAATATTTTATAATATTTGTGACATTTAGATTTTTAAATTTTAGCTCTAATATGTAAGGTGGTCTTTTTGTTATACTCAAATACTAAATCTGTTAATCTCATGACTAGTCAATAATTAATTATCACGTTGACATGTATTCTCTTTTATATTTGGCATGCAACACTTATAAATTAAGTAGATTTAGACACAGATAAAGTATAGTTTAATTTTTATTTTAATTTAAAATAATTAAAATAACGTTTGAATGACTTATTTTTTCTTACCCGCTCTAATTATCACAAAGTTTTTTCTCATTTCTATCAGAAAAATTTTGCAATTCATTAAACATATTAAAAGTACCCATTTTCGATTAATGTATCTTTACTTGAGATTTTTCATAACTACCACTCATTATGTTAAATCCCAAATTCAATAATTTAGGATTTACAATCTTAAACTTGTAGTCAGAACAAACGAAGAAATTTGTAATGGTTGAGATAGAAAAATACAATAGCAGATAATCCAATGAAACCCAATAACAACCTTACATTTTTAATCAGAATACCCATGAAAAAAAAAATTAAATATGACAAAGTGTCAGTTCTTGATTATAAAATTTCAAAATCTTGTGTTATGATTCATATTAGTTGATTAAGAAAGAAAACAACTAAATAGAAGAGAGAATAGGTATCAATATGGCTCATAACAGTTGATTGTTCAAAAAACTAGCAAAGTTAGTAACAGAGTATAACAAAATGATTAACTAGTGCAATGAAATTAAAATTTAGGAATTTAGATGTCACAAATTTTTTTTTAAAGACCTATTAATCATCTCTACCATCTTTAAGAAATCAAATTAGATAATTACTTGTATATCAAGTTTCAAAATAATTGAATTCGTTTATTTTGTGAAAATTCGATAAAAAAAATAACAATTTGTAAATTTTAAGAAGATTTTTTTTTTTGCTAAGACTAAAATTTCCAATTTTAAAAATAGAGGAACTTAGCTAAAATAATTTAGGAGATCAAAATTATACATAATCTAAATCAAACAATCCAAAGTACAACCGAACCTTTTTTTTTTTTTTTTTACCGTATTAACTACTAAGAATGGCCGTTTAAATTAAGGAAGGTAATTAAAATAAGATCTTGAAAGACTATTTTAGCATAAAAAAAGTCATGTGAAATAAAAAAGATTTTGAATGAATGTAATGACTTTTAAGATTTTTTTAAAACATGAATTTTAATTAAGACTTTATATTTCGAATGATAGATTTATATCAAGATTTTAAAAGATTTTATTAATTTCGTCAGAAAATATGAATTTGTAAAATACATTTAATGCTACAAGAATCAATAAAAAATATAAATAATAAATAAAAGTATAATTGACATATTTTTTTTTTATCTCTTGACAAATAATTGTTTTTATCATTTGACAATTAATTGTCTTTAATATCTTCTTAACATTTTTTTACATATTTAAAGTTAAATTAGTCCTTCATATATTAATATACTCTTTTTCATGCTCTTGAATTTAAATAATATGTTTAAAATTATGATCTTCATTAATCGATAATACTAAAAATGAAAATTTATCAATTAATTTAATTGAAAATTTATTAAAATGATATACTTTAGAAAGATGAATAAAAAGAGAAAAAGAAAAAGAGATAAAAAGAAAATAAGAGAGAAAAGAGAAAATAGGAAAAAGAAGAGGATAGAAAGAAGCAACAAAGGTAAGAAAGAAAGAGAAGAAGAAAAAAGAGATACGGAAGAGAGATGAGAAGGAGAGAGAAACATGAAAGGCAGGACAAGAGATTTAGGAGAGAGAGAAAAAAAAACTGAGAAATAAAAGAGGGGAAAAGTCGGGAAAAATCTCAAAAGATTTGGTAAAATTCTTAGATGAGTAAGTTAGTTATAAGTGAAAAAAAAACCCTAGAGCTGTCAAAGTGGGTCGGGACCCGTGGGCCAACCCGGCCCACCTTGAAAACAGGCCGGACCGGGTCAAAAAAATTGAAATTTTATAGTAGGTGGGTATATCTCAACCCGGCCCACTTTGACCCGGCTCACCCGGGCTAAACCCGTGGTGGGCCGGGTAGCCCACCAACCCACCATTTTTTTTACAATAAAAATTTAAGTATGATTTATAGTTAATTTTGTATGATAGGATATTGAAAATTTTTATTTTAGACTTTTATCATGATTTGTATTTAATTTTGTATGATGAGTTATGACTTATGACTATTAATGATGCTAATTTTATGACTATTATGTTAATTTATAATTAATTTAAAATTTTGAATTTTGTTGATAATTTTTTTTTTAATTTTTGGTGGGCTGGTGGGCTGGCCCGTATAACCCACCAACCCGTGGTGGGCCGGGTCGGGCCAAATTTTTTTTTAGAAAATCAAAAGTGGGCCGAGTTGGGTTGGCTCGTTTTTAAAGTGGGTCAAGGTGGGTCAGCCCACATGGGCTGGGTTGGCCCGTTTTAACAGCTCTAAAAAAAACCTTAATTAAATACTATTGGTTTTTAACCGATTTGTAAAAAAATTATAATTATTTTAATTGAAAACATCAAATTTTAATGTACTCATAAAAAAATTATAATTATCTTATTTGAACATCAGAAAAAAAAATTATATTAATTTTTTTTTTATCGAATACCACAATTTTTTTTAATGATTAAAAAGTCTTTTAAATTCTATTGAAACCCTAATTAATACATCATTTTAAGGATTTGTTCCCCTCCTTACAAGTTTTGGCAGAAGTTACTTTATTGAGTTTTAAAAACAAAAACGGGTAATGTTACTGCTTATTATACTAAATTCATGTATGAGAGATTTTTCTTTATCACCCATCAGATTTATATCGATTCTATATATTAAATATAAATTTTTATTTTATATAAGAATATTTTTAGAAATTTTTTTAATAAGAAAATATGTAAGATTTTTTTTAACTTTTTATATACTTTAAATTTTATTTATCATAATTATTTAAAATTAAATATTAATATTTTAAATAAATTATCAATAAATACAAATATTTTTTATTATAATATAATTTTTTTAATCAATAATATAAAATATAATTTATATATTTAAAAATATTTTATGTATATTAATTTTAAATATAATTTACATACTTAAATATAATATTTATTTACATATATAATTTAATATAAATTTTAATCATATAATAAACATGCATGTTAATTCGATAGACTAAAATGCTAGTAATCATATATGGAAAAATATTAATTGACGTTAAATGTTAAATTCTTGCACTTACATTAATTAATAAGATTTTTGCATAATATAAAAATTAATCAATTTAATTTATTTCTTTTATAGAATTGATTAAATTTATAAATTTATGTAAATAAAAAAATTAATACTTCATTACACTTTTATTTTAATAGGTAGCTTTTATCAATAAAAAAATTACAAAACAATTATGATGATGTATAAATCCTTATACATCTACCCAACTCTTTATTTCCAACACTAAACTTATTCTAGTGTTCATTTTAATAGATGATTTACTATGTAAAATATAAGTGATTATATATTATTAGATAACATATAAACAAATGTTCAAATTAAAAAAAAATTTAATGTACGATAAAAAGTATCATTAAATGATTCAATAATTCTTAGATTAAATAATTCCAAATTCTTCATAACAAGTATTAATTCATCCCGTCTCATTGGCGCCGTAAAAAAAATAATCCTATTCAGGATGGTTAGTTACTTAACGCATTTAGCTTACTTTTGGCTTTATTATATGGTCTTTGAATAGTTATTTGCTTTATTCGAAATCATCTTTGTTTTGCTTTAATTAGACAATGTATCAGATGAATTATAATTTAACCTTTTTCTTGCATGTGTTTTCTTCTGTTATCAACCCGTAATTTTAGTCAAACAGTATACTTTCTATTATTAATTATAGTCAAATTTTGTAATTTTAATAAATTTTAATGAATAAAAATATATTTTAGAGAATTATATAGACCATAGATTGTATTTTTAACATTTATCTCGTAAAAATATTGTTTGGTAATGAAAGATACACACGTAATATGCAAATTGTGGTTGCTATGTATCTCTCTTTTCTGCAAAATCAATGAATACCGTCACCATTCACGGTGCAGCCATTTGTATCTAATGCAATCTATCTGTGTAGTATGACCAAATATGCAAAATAATCCTTTACTCCATGTCATGCCAGCTATATCAACTTGAAGATATTATTATGTGAAACAACCTCCTTGTTATTTTTTCGTAACTTATGAATTTTTTATTGTTTTATTCAATTTAACTTTGTGTTCAACATGACCTTATCATTAAGTTGTTCTGTGAGTAGGCCAAATTCCTTGCTTGTCTGTTTCTAATACGATATTATATACTATTATTTACTATAAATCGTTTGAGGCAACAGCAGCAAATTAATTACAACAAAACAATGTAAGGCTATATATATATAAAGGAAAAAAAAAACAAAATAAGCATCTTGATGACATGATAACAATCATACCACTATAGAATATGGCACATATTAAGACAAAATAAATAGTTGGGTACATCCAATGGAAGAAGCCCAGCTCTAGCAAGTCCAAATATCAAACATTACGAGCCCATCTTCAAGGCTTCACCGCCTCAATACAATTTTGTCCATATTAGGAAAAAATTATTATATAGTTTACAATCATTATAAAATATGTATTTTAAAATTTTAATTTACAAGAGAAAATTCATAATATTTAATTATATATTATATAGGGATTAATTAAGAATTATGTGATTTAGAACAATTTAATAATTTTTCCGATGTTAGATTGTGTAGAAGTGAGATGTTATCATTTTATCAACTTATTTCCAACCATCATGACTAAATATTTTTTTTTTATTAACATTATTAATATTAATTCATGAATGATATTACTAATACAAATAATTTTTCTAGCAATTTTTTTTTGTGATGAATGAAATTTATAATTTATATATTTAAATAGGTCAATAATTATATAACTTTAAAATATTTTTTAAAAATATATTAATTTACTAATGATATTACTAATATTAATTTATCAATAATATTTTTAATACTGATAATATATCTAAATTTCTTTATTTATTTGTAATAAATGTAGTGTAATTTTGGATTCTATTGAAGATATATATATTAAAAAAATTATATAATTGTTAAAGAAATTCATTGATACAATGATTAAGTATTATTATTGGAAGAGAATAAAATTTTAGCCGCCATCAAATTTCAAAACATTTAAAAGTGTGTAACTTACCACTTCGCTTATGTCTTTGCCTCTTTGGGGTCTTATGAATTTATGAATCCCAAGATATTTTTAATTACTGGCGAAAATTTATGAGTGATTACCGTTAGTTATGTTTTAGTATTCAAAATAAGCATGAAAAGGGGTGTTATGAGGTAGCTTGATGCTCACTCTTAGTCCAGGACCGAGTAAGTCATGTTGGCTTTAAGTCCGTACGTACGTATTGTTTGTTTGAGTGAATTTTAAGGAAAAAAAAAAAAAACAGACAACAAAAAGTGTGAAAATAAATAATTTTTTAATTGTCTGGAAGAAGAGAAAAGTGTGAGAAGAGAGAAAAACAAAGTGTAGGATTCGGTCTAAAAATATTGAGCTCAAATCCCCTCTTACATCCCCAAGCTTCTACAACCAAAAAATTTAAAGAAGAAATACATTAAAAATAAATAAAAGAAATTAGATGATAGAGAAATAAGGTAAAAATAGAGAAAGAAGAAGATTTGGGCCGGGGAGGATCCAGGTTCAGAAAAAGTACTTCAAGAAATTTGAAGGAAAATTGTAAAAATTGTGAGACTGTGAAATCATATATCTATTCTTGTAGTTTGAATTATGTAAATATATTATTGAAGACTAATGACATTCCATGCCTCATTATTTAAAAAAAAAATGTAAATAAAACAAAAAAAGGATAATTATTCTTTTTCATGTTCTTTTATTACTCAAACAGAATAGTGGTGTAAGATTCCCCTCACACATATATAGATAGTAAAATTTGGTTACTGGAATCTCTGTTGCTCCATATATACTCTAGGGTTGAATTGTTAGATATATAGCCTACGTACCATCAAGCACTTGCCGCGACATTCTTCCTTTAACTAGGTAATTAGGTAATCAATCTGCTAGCCCTTACAATATACGTTTTCAACACAAAGTCAAAGACATGTTTAGTCATCACAGTTGACAAAGTCATAGTGGACGATAAGATGACCTTGAGCATTCCCACTTCCGTCGGAATCGAGTCTTTGGAAGACACTAACATCCAAATCCAAACCCCCATTCTTGCATTGATCCACTATTCTTGCTATTTTCTGAGTTCCTGTTCGAGTGTTTGTCACCTACAATACCAACAATTAATAAATTCATTACTTTGCTTTGTTCATCGATCAAATAGCAAAATAACATAAATTAGGATTTGTATGTGACACATGTAAATTAAAGTTAAATTAATCATGCAGGGGTACGTAGTAGAATGAGTAGGTAATTGGTTGCTTAATTTGTTTAGTAATATAGCATGCATACCCTTAAGCACTTGCCACAAGAGGCTTCGCCTTGAGGCCCAATAGGTCCACAAAAAGCTGTCCAACCATATTTGCTACGCCATGACAAAGGTTGGTTTGCATCCCAAGTGGCACAATATGCACTCACTGCAAGCAAATCCCAGTTATGCTGTTCAGGTTGGTATAAATGATATGTAGATGTCACGATGGCACTTTGCGCAGAGGCCAAAGCCAATACACAGAACAAGGACAACGCACATAGGATAAGCTTCGCCATCATTAATGTTATATTGTTAAGCTTGATTACTTTGCTTTGCCACTTTGCCTTGCAGTTGAATTAGATTTGCTCGCATTTATAGGCTTCGTTGGCCGGCACACCCATGAATCATTTATAGTAAAAATCAAAGCTTATGCAAACTAGTTCAGTTTCCTCGGATACCGTTGGAATTACTTGTTACTAAACATTGCGTATTATTGCATAGTCTTTAACGCAATTCGTGCCTCACATCTTACTCTGAAGGAATATTCAATCTATCATTATAGACAAAAGATGGAATAAAGAGAAGAAAATAGAATTGAAGTAAGAAGTATTGTTCTTAATTAAGAATTGATAATAATCTGTTGTGTCAATATAAGTTATTTGTTTTTTGCACTGTCCTGGCCTTCAATTATATGTTTTATTAAATTTGGCTTTCTAATAATATTATTTGAGAGGTTAAATTATTTTAAAATGATTGAAGTTTGATATAAAATAACTTTGGTCTCTCCTATAAAAGTTTGCACATGATCAACAATTCCTGTCTCATCTCAAACCTCTAGCTAGGTGTATTTGACAACAAGAGTCTTAAATATAAGAAGTACTTTAGGTGAACTCCTCCTCACCAATGAACAACAGTTTGCTATTGACATTAGTGGATCACCTATCTATTAAAAGCATTCTAAATAAAAGATTTTCGTTGAAAATTTTGTGAAGAAAGAGATTGACGACGGTCACGTTAAGAAGTTAATTTACGTTGAAATTTAATTTCCAGACTGGAAAGAAAAGGATATGATTAATGAAGCTTGTCTTCGTGATCTTGTTTTTCCTTGTACGCCGCGAATATCGATAACTCACAATTCAACACATATTGCACACAATGCTTGCCTGTCACTCACTGCGGCTTGGACAATCCTATCTGCGATTTCATTTAAACATTAATTGTCTGTTTCCACTTTGTCGTTTATAATTTCTACCTTCTAAATTAAGCTATGCCCATCAGCCTATGACGAAGCACGACGCAATTCTCAATACGGATTCAAATGGGACAAAAGGTTCAGAGACAGTAGAGTTAGCAGCAAACTAGCTAATTGCCCTTCTTTTTTTGTCTTTACTCTTTAGAATCAATACAGTAATTGACACAAACATAGTAGTTCTCCGAAGCAATGTAATCTTGTCAGAATAAAAACACAATTTACTGAAGAGGAAACCTACACCGTCCGAAAATTTAGCCGAATATCCTCCGAAAATTTAAATATTAATATTTTTTTTATAAAATAATTATTTAATTTAATATTTTATATTTTAAATTATTATTTTATTCATTTAGATAGAATTTCGGATAATGATTTCAGACTATCAATCATTTTCTTTTATTGAATACACTCCATCGAATTTATTAAAAAAATATAAAATTTAGTAAGTACTTAACTCTATTTGATAATTTTCTCTTGATTTAGTAATTTTTAATAAATTCTAGACTCATTAATTGATAACCTGAAACAGATTTGAATTACAACGAATTCATAAGATTCATTCTGTACGCGAGTCGAACATTATTTGTTTATTCATTTAAAAATACACACAATATATATATATATATAACAAAGAGTGTGTACCACTCCTCTAGCTCTTGTCCAATTATGTGTATGGGTCACTTAAATCATATCAAACAGCTTGAATTTTGTTTGTTATATCCGAAAAAAAAGAGAGTGTATATATTATGGAATTTAAAGCATGCCTCTTTTAGGCCTTCTAATAAACTGGTAGCCATCACACCTTTTTTTTTTTACAAGACACAGCTGGTTTACAGTGACGTATAAAGACTTTAGGTTAAGTGCTGTTTTTATTTTTTATTTATCTTTAAAAAATAATATTTGTTGGTAAAAAGGAAAAAAAATTATAAATATAAAAAAATCATGTTCTTACCGGTAGTAAACCACCACAAATTGCAGCACTAATGCGTATTTCTCTAGCAGCCCATTTCCACCCTGCTTTGAGTGGAAATGAAAAGGTGATGGATGGAGTCTTACCAAATTCTTACCAACGATACTTAAACTTATTTTCACCCTCTTCTTTAAATCCATAATATTTTCCCCAAAGACTAAGTAACTAACAATTTTTTCAATTATTTTAGTATAGTTAGAATTATAATTTTCATAAATAATTACAAATACAAATATTAAAATGATAACGAAAATATTAATAAACATTGAGAAGGTAAGAAGCTTGTGTCTATGAGTGAGAGAGGAAAGGTCCAGTTATTTCAAAAATAATTTTTTATAAAGTTACTTTATTCAATAATTTATGATATATTATTAAATTTTAATGATTTAATTATTAAATTAAAAATTCTTAAAGCATAAATTAAGTTCATAATTTTTTTAAAAATTATTATATGAAATATATTTAAATCAACGTATAAAATATTTTTATGATTATTCATCAATTTTAATTAATGAAATAAAATATTAAATAATTTTTTTTTATTTTAAATTTATAAATTTAATTTATATATTAAAAATTTATAATTTTTTTTTAAAATTTATAAATTTTTATAATTTAACGATTGAATTGGTCAAATTTTACGTTAAATTATGTTATGAAATTTTACTAAAAATTATATGTACGTATGTATATATATATATATAGAGAAAAGGGAGGAGGGGGGGAGGTGTTGGTGTACGTGTATAGTAACAAGCCTGAGGAGGGCTTGTAGGCTTGTAGCCCCTTTTTATCATTTAAAAAAAAAAAAAAGAAACTGACATACAATGTGCATGTTTGGTTTTTAACTCTAACGTGAATTTTCAAGTTTGTTTGAAGCAAAAAAATTTTGCTTCCACGTAAAATTGATATCTAACGTGGAGAGAGAATGTAGAATCATGTTTCAAAAGCTAATCTAAACATGGACCGGGATTGGTAAGTTTATAAATCAATTGAGGGTCCCGCAAATAAGAGAATACTAAGATATATAAATGGTATTTTGGAATGTGGATTATTGTGTCCTGAACAAAAGAAATGTGTTGAAGGATAAGCCATACTACGTGAGACTTTCATTATGAAACTGAAACGAAATAAAACAGCTAATGGGAACACTCCTCCTTACAATTTCATGCAATATTGCAATGGGTAACCTAACACAACTTTTTTATGCTGGTACTTTGCTAACTCTAGTAAAAATAAATAACCATATGAAAATCAATCCTCCTGGACTTGCCAGGTGCCTTTGCAATATGTGCTCAATTAACAAGGACGTGTTTAGTCAGCGCAGTCCACAAAGTCATAGTGAACGATAAGATGACCTTCAGCATTTCCACTTCCGTCGGAATCGAGACTCTGGAAGACACTAACGTCCAAATCCAAACCCCCATTATTGCATTGATCCACAATTCTCGCTATTTGCTGAGCTCCTGTTCGAGTGTTTGTCACCTACGTACAATACCAACAATAAAATAAATTCATTATTTTGCTTTCTTCATCAATCAAAAGCAAAATAAGAAAAATTAGGATTTTTATGTGTGTGTGACACATGTAAATCAAAGCTAAATTAATCATGCAGGGGTAGGTACGTAGTAGAATAAAATGTATGCATCGATCTACATGCACTATTATATAAGGATGTAATTACCCTTAAGCACTTGCCACACGCGGCTTCGCCTTGAGGTCCAACAGGTCCACAAAAGGCTGTCCAACCATATTTGCTACGCCATGACAAGGGCTGGTTTGCGTCCCAAGTTGCACAATATGCACTCACTGCAAGCAAATCCCAGTTATGCTGTTCAGGTTGGTATAAATGATATGTAGATGTCACAATGGCACTTTGCGCAGAGGCAAAAGCCAGTACACAGACCAAGGACAACGCACATAGGGTGAGCTTTGCCATCATTAAACTTATATTCTTAAGCTTGATTAGTTTGCCACTTGTAGTTGAATTAGATTTGCTTGCACTTATAACCTTCATCGGGGCCGGCACACCCATGAATTATAGTATAAGTCAAAGTTTATGTAAATTAATTATGTTTCCTTGTATAACGTTGGAATTACATTACAATGTACATTACCTAGTCTTTAACGCAATTCGTGTCACACATCTTACTTTTTGATGGAATATTCAATCTAATTCAATTAGAAAAATAATATTACTAGTGGAAAAATGATATCTATAGGAAAAAATCCTTGTCGATCTCTTCATAATCCAACCGAAAATAAGATATTATTTGTTTGATTAATGCTATATATAGTGATTGAAAATTATGTGTAAGAAACTGATTGATGGCTGTCACGTTGAGAAGTTAATTTACGTTGAAATTTCCCTTGTGGAATCATAAAGAGATTATTTATGTAGCTCGTCTTTGTCTAGCACGCGGGAAATATATATATTTAACTGTCTCAATTTAATAGTCAACACATATTGCACACAATGTTCGACTGTCTATTAGCAGCAAATTGCCAAACACAGTAATTCTCAAAGGCAATTTTGTCTTATCAAGTTCTGTTTATGGATCACTTAACAATATGAAAGAGCTTGGATTTTGTTTGTCGCAACTGAAAAAATTCGAGTGTATTATGGCATCTAAAGCCGGCCACATTTTGGCCTCTAATTAAACTTGGACCTGATACTGCTTTTCTTTTATATATACAAGACAGCTGGTTTACAGGGACGTATAAAAACTTTAGTTTAAATTCTATTTTTAAAAAGAATATTATTTTTTAGATGAAAAGGAATTTATATTTTAAAAAAGAGTAATAATAGTGTCTATCCTGTTCTGCTTGGAGAACGGCCCGTTCTGCTTGAAGAACGGGTTGTTCTACTTGAAGATCCATCCAAACGCGAAAATTTTTTTACTTGGTATTAACTAATATATTAACAAACGATGATCCACCCAAACACAAAAAAGAGGATAATATTAACTAATATATTAATAGATCAATACATACATTTATTTTCAACATATTAGCTAATATATTAAGAAATGATTTTCTAAAATAACCTCAAACGCGAGCCCAATGCAATAGGTCAAAAACTCAAGAACCACCCAAACGCGCAAACATACACTCAAATGCAATACACTCAAACGAAATCTTAACTTTGAAGACTTGAAATGCACCTACACTCAAAGTTCTCTTGTTTAAAAAAAAAAAAAAAAAACTACGTCAAATATAAGCTATATCTGACATAGATTTTCTTTTTTACGTCGGCCCCTTTGAGGTCCGACGTAAAAAACTTGATTATAATTATAAAAATGTTATCACATTTTTTTAATGTTAGATTTTTCTTTATCCATCAAGAATACATTAACGTAAATTACCTTTTTTCTATTGGTAAATATAATATTGAAGTACACTATACTAAGTTACTAATTTAACTTTCGTTCACTTTATTTATTACACCCGGTAAGCGTCAAATATAAATGTATGCCTTCCTATGATTCAGAATTATCACAAATAAGTTTTAAAATGGGATGAATTAATATTATGAAATTCCTCTTATTTCATCGCTCGAACAGTTTTGCTAATTACTTGCAATGCTTTATTCTTCTTGAAAATTGAGTGTTTTGTTATAAAGTTGACCCGTGCAATTGGAAATCGAGCTTTCGATCTGCATCATAAGTTCATAACTATTCTTTGCATAAATTTTCACTCAAGACATAAAGTCTGGTAAATTAAACACCTACAGGATAGCATTAGAATAAATTATCTTTATATATTTTTTTGTATTTAAAAAAATCATGAAATTGCTGAAATATTTAAGTTTCGTTTTCGAACAGTTGTGATCATTTCTTTAAATAAATATTATAGGTTGTACGATATTCAAAAGTCGGTATAAACGCAACTCATTGGTTGTGCCCTTGCAAATAGTATGTGACTAGTCTTACCTGTTTAGCTTGTAACGATAGACCAAATTAACTTGTTTTTCTTTCTTCTTTTTTTGGCGTCTCAAATTAAACATAAAAATAGAAATGAAGCTAACTGAATCAGAGTTGTTGCACTACCCGAGCTGACAAATTTTACAGCTCTAATAGTCATTAAAATAAAAAGAAATAGAAATAAAAAATGCGAGTTATATAAGATTGGGATAAGTGGTTGTTTTATTTAAATTTATTTCCAAGTTGGAAGACCGGTTACTTAATTTTGGGGTGTTATTATTACATGATAGATTGAGTTGAGCATTAGAAAAAGTGAGTGGAGCGAAGTCAATGAGCACAATCGAGGAAATTGTAGTTGACCGTAAGGTGACCCCTCTGATATCCCAGTCCATCGGTATCCAATTGCCTGAAAACATTGACGTCCAAATCCAAACCTCCATTAGCGCACTGATCCACAATTCTGACCGTAGCCGCAGCCCCGGTTCCCGTATTCGTCACCTAACAACACTCTCATATCATCGATATCATGCATAAACTTTAACTGTGAAATTAATAGTAAGTAGTAGAAAAGATACCCTCAAGCACTTGCCACAAGAGTCTCTGCCGCGAGGCCCAACAGGCCCACAGAAAGCGGTCCAGCCATATTTCTGGCGCCAGGCCAAGGGCCTGTTGGCGTCCCACGTGGCGCAGTAGACACTCGCAGTGTTCAGGCTCCAACCTATCTGCTGAGGGTTATACAAATGGTATGTGGCCCTCACGTTCTTCGCACTCTCGCCACCCACTAACATCGTTGCCCTCAGAAACCACGCGCACCACCACACCACTCCCCATAACCTTAAACTCTTCTTCATTCTCTCCACAACTCGCTTTGCCCAATTCTCTCCACTTTTCCCTCTTTCTACCTATTTATACTTCCACTTCCAAGTTCCATCTATACTACTGCTCAGTAGCAAGTAGCAAAATATGTATTCCCACATGCTATTAACTTATTTATTTTGGATAACTAGATCTTCATATATATCTTTTAATAACATATTTTGGATGTAAACGTAGAATATCAATATATATATATATAATACTATTTTATATTCAAGTGATTAATTTCAGTATTTGGGTCAAACTCAATTCAACTCGATTAAAATTCGACACTGGATAGGTTATGTAATGAGTTTTGTGTTTTCAACCCGTTATCAATCCAATCTAACCCGGTCATATATAATAATAATAATGTTTAAATGATCGAGAATAATACTAATTGTTACTCTTATTTAGTAATAAGTTTTGTATTTTAAGTTGATAATATTGTAACAATATAATATATTTATTTTAAATTTTATTTTATATTAATTAAGATTTATTTTTTGACTTCATAATAATGTAAATAATTAATAAATTTATTCTAAAATTTAATTTGTATTATTATTTGTTTTATAAGTTGATAATATTGAATTTGCAACAATATATCAAATCACTTATATCTATTTTGAGATATTTAAATTTTTATAAAAATAAATAAATATAATTATGTTGATCCAATTAATCCGACTTAACTCAATCATGAACGGGTTGGGTTGGATTGAATTATTTTTATAAAAGAAAAATTATACAAATCCGACCTAACCCAACTCATTAAATTTTGATTGAGTTGAATAATAAATTTATCCGGCCCAATCTAACCTGCTTATAGTTAATATCTAATTAGATTTTTATGATAAAATATTGATTTCAAAATAATTAATAATTATAATTTGTAATAGACCGTAATATAATTAATATTCTTCAATTTATTTTAGTGTTTTAATCTACATGTTGATATATTAAATACGGGTGAAAGAATAGGTAAATTTGTCTCATCATTAACCCCACTAACAAACGGGTCCACTTGCTCAACTCTACATAAAAAATAAAGGATTGGATTATTGGAACATTTCTATCCTATTATTGGTGAATCGGCAAGTCAACTTGCTTTATAATTTAAAATATTTTTGTTTTTTTTATATATTTATTAGAATAAATATTTTAACTTGGATTTTAATAACTTACTTAAACGTGATAAATTAAATAAAAAATTATTACAAAATAATGTGACTATTTACACAACACACACACACACA